TATAATGATCTAGTCCTTATTATTATTCTGCACTTTGATTACAATTAATGATGTGGCCTAAATTATTTTAGAAATCCAAAATAGTTTCGTCCAGAGACATCAGGAGTTTAGAATCACTGTTAAATGAACAAGCTTTTAGAAAACAATGAAAATTTAACATTGGGTGATTATATAAATTTTAATTATTTAAACTATCTATTAAATTAATTTTTATTTATAACAATTTGCTAAAAAAATTGTTTGCTATTACACCATATGCAAGCTTCTTGAGAAAGGATTTGGTCATCTTGTGGATGGCTATATGAAAAAAAAGGTCAATGAAAATAGCAGAAGGAAATATTTCTGAAAATGAAATATTGGATACTTTTTTGGCAGCTCAAGATGATAACAAGGAGGATAATGAGGATGATGATATAGAAACATCTTTATTAGAAGAAGAGAATAATGATATAAATGTTAATGAGGGACTTCCAGTACCTTATGTTTTAATTATTCAAATACAATGGATTTATCTCATTATGATTTTCAAGATCTGGATGATAATGAAAATAGATTTGAGTATTTATCTGAAGAAGAAACAATATTAGCTAATGATAAGTATGACAAAGAGGAGGAATATAATTTGAACGAATTGGCATCATCATTTATGACAGCATTACTTGGTAAAAAAAAAATTTTTTTATACAATTATTATTACATTATTTTTCAATTGCCTCATTGATAATTTGTTCAAGTTTATAAAAAATTTAAAATTGTTTTGGAAATATTTTTTATAACAATAATAAAATCAAACTAAGTTTATATAGATTAATATGTTAAAGTTTCGTTCTTTTGACAATTTAGGGAGTTTCACCCACAGTTTAGACAATTTTTATTTTATTTATATACTTGATATCAATAAATGGTTGTGATCAACAAATATGCGCATTTTTAATGTAACACAATCCCACACTCAATTTCCTACACTGGTTTGAAGACATCAATGTCTCCAGCTCGTATATCATTATTGTGTTCAAAGACATCAATGTCACTGGCTCATGTGTATCATTATTGTGTTCAAAGACATCAATGCCTCCAGCTCATGTGCATTCTTATTGTATTTGAAGACATCAATGTCTCTGGCTCATGTGTTTCATTATTGTGTTTGAAGACATCAATGTCTCCAGCTCATGTGTATCATTATTGTGTTTGAAGACACCAATGTCTCCAGCTCATGTGTATCATTA